GGTCCAATTTGAGAGATTAAATTTTTTGGGTGAATTTCTGTGTTCACTAAAATCAGAAATATTACTGTGTTGGAGAATAGTGCATACTTGTACACAAAATACCTCCAGTTAAGCTTTTAGGATAACTGGATCCACAGGAATCAATTCCTCCTTTTTATAGTTACATAACTGAAATGGATCTGATTCCAGCTGATAATCTGTATTACCATAGGACTGTAAGGCATATCTAAGCTTTTATGGCTGGCTTGGTACCACTAGACATTTGCCTGTGAAATAGAAGCAGAAAACAGGAATGGCATGTTGCATTATTTACAATACAGAAAGTGATGGAAAGGTTTTTCATTAAGTCAGCACTGGATTCTGCTGTTGATTTTAATTTAATGGGTAAAAGTAGTAGCCCATTTCTGCTATAAATCTTGCTTATAGCAGCCCCTCTAATAACCTGAGTCTTGTTTCCAAGAATGTACATCAACCAATGTCAAACTGTGTAGCAGATACCATATTCATCATCTCTTTGGAATCAATGGGAAGAAGTTGACAGTTTTCAATTTTGTACTTGAGTTTAATTAGAAATGAGTTACAACAGATTGATTCCCCTTTGCTTAATATCCTGGAGGGTTATTTTCATGATAATTCAAATCTAGGCTGCAGAGGTGATAGAGCAGAATATGTATTGGGTGAGTTGGAGCTGAATAGAAAAAGCTTTACTTGCATCTAGCCCTTTCTCTGAAGAAAGTCATGAAGAAAAGCAGAATGCAAAGCACCGTAAAGATCATAACTAAGTCAATACAGATGAGTACTTTTTAAAGTTTACAGATTACAGTAAAATATTTTACAAATTTTATGTAAGATAAACATGTTGAAGATTTTCTGTCATGTAATATTTGCAATGTGAATTATATTTAATATCCATTGGTGTGAAATCTACATTGCCACCACAGGTGGACTTGCTACTGCTGTTGGATATCCTTTGGATACAATCAAGGTAGTGTATGTATTTGAGCTGCTGCTAGAAATTGCCTATGTTTTACACATGTGGTACTGTAGTTAATGCTAGTTGTCTCACCAGGTGAGAATTCAGACACAGCGTATGTACAGTGGTGTTTGGCACTGCATTCAATCAACATATCAGAGAGAAAAGGTAAACCAGAACTTTTATCAATTATGTACAGCTTTGTGAATCGATTGCTTATTTTAGAAATTTTTAAAATCTTTATTCCTTTAATTGTGTTCTTTACATATGTTATCTTTAACTTGAAACAATATAGGAAGTTGAGCAGTATAGTTTTTTCTACTTGTGAAGCATTTGTGCAAACCCAGCCTCCTTTTAAAACTCACTTAGTTGCTACTAATAAATCTTAACTGTGTGGACTTCAATTGGACTAACCTTCATTGAATCATTTCCAATGCTGACTGCTGAAATACCTTGTTATAATATTAACCAAGATAAATCTGTCTTCTAACTAGAAGGCTAAATTCTACACCATAAGGTTTTGAATAATTTTTCAAACTTAAATATGTAAATAAAGGAATAACAGAAGGCCATACAACCCCTCCACTCTGTACAGACATTTAATAAGATCATACGTACCTCCACGTGTCTTGGGCCTATGTTCTTTTAATACTCTTGGCTAGTAATAGTCTATTAATCACAGAAAAGTGATTAACTAAGCTGAATCTATTGCTTTTTGTGAGTTTCTCACTTTTATCACGCTTTGCATATAAAAGTGTTTCCTAACATCTCTGCCTAATGGCTTGGCTGTGTTTGTAATGTTATGTTCTTTTGTCCTTGACTTCTCTCACTCTGAAAACTATTTCTGCATACTCCGTCAATTGCTTTCAGATTCCTAAAATTGCTGTGCCATTATATCACAGGATTATTTTGATATTCCCTATCTTGGGAGTGAGCAGTTGGCTAGGCCCTTATTCACAAGGTTACAATGTGATACCAGGTATATAAGACATGAGCCCCATTGTATCAAACAACAAGTCCCTATTGACAATATAACAAGAGCCAGTGTACCAATGGAGCTCAACCTGCCTTGCCTGAATTTGATGTGATTCTGCTATTGGAAATTTTTTACTAAATAATCCTGACTAGACTAAGACTTACATTGGAAACCAATTTGAGATTATCAGTCAGGATTGCGTGTGATAAATTTGCGCATACTGGAAGCTATGTTTACTTATGTACAAAATAGGCAAAAGGATTTGCCCATACATTGCCCATTTCTGAAGAAGGGTCTAGGCCTGAAATGTCAGCTTTCCTGCTCCTCTGATGCTGCTTGGCCTGCTGTGTTCATCCAGCTCTACACCTTGTTATCTCATTGCCCATACATTGTATCATTTTCATTGAGGAGAGGGTTTTGGAGACTTAAAATCCTTGCTGCATTTCCCATGGCAGCAACCTGACCACTCAAGCTAATATGAGTTTATTAGCTAAGGTTAATAGTTAACATTCTACATCTCATTGCCAATTGTGATCCAATCAGTCAGCACCCTCTTGTCATGATTAACAAATTGATGTTCGTTTTCCACGTTTGGTTTGTCATGTGTCAGTTGTGATGAGTGCAAGTCGAAAAGCTTTGACTGCATGTCTGTTGTTAGCAATATTTCAGTTCTGTACTGCCAAGCTTCTTGGAAATTGTAATCCAGTTGCTTATTTTCTTCTACTTTAATATCGGAGTTTTATTTATTCACTGTGGAATGTTGGTGTTGTTGGCTGGTCAGCATTTACTGCCTGTCCTAGTTACCCTTGAGAAGGTGGTAGTGAGCTGTCGCCTTGAACCACTACAGTCTATGTGCTGTTGGTTGACCTACAATACCCTTAGGGAGGTAATTCCAGGATTTTGACCCAGCAACAATGAAGCAATGGCGATATATTTCCAAGTCAGGATGGTGAGTTGCTTGGAGGGGATCTTGCAGGTGGTGGTATTCCGATGTCTCTGCTGCCCTTGTCTTTCTAGATGGAAGTGGTTATGGTTTTGGAAGGTACTTTCTGAGGATCTTTGGTGAATTTCTGTAGATAGTACACACTGCTGCTACTGAGGTTTGGTGGTGGAGGGAGTGGATGCTTGTGAATGTGGTGCCAATCGAACAGGTTGCTCTGTCCTGGATAGTGTCAAGCTTCTTGCATGTTGGAGCTGCATTCATCCAGGCAAGAGTATTGGGGAGTATTCCATCACACTCCTGACTTGTGCCTTGTAGATGGTGGAAATGCTTTGGGGAGTCAGGAGGTGAGTTACTTGCAGCAGTATTCCAAACCTCTGACATTCTTTTGTATTCACTGTATTTATATAGTGAGTCCAGTTGAGATTCTGGTCAATGGTAAACCCCAGAATGTTGATAGTAGATGATTTAGTGATGGTAATGCCATTGAATGTCAAGGGGCAATGACTCTTATTGAAGATGGTCATTGCCTGGCATTTGTGTGTCACAAATGTTTCTTGCCACTTGTCAGCCCAAGCCTGGACATTGTCCAGATCATTTCATTTTAACATGGGCTTCTTCATCATCTGTGAGAGTTGTGTAATTATGAGGAAATCTTCAGTAATATTTGTTATGTCTTTTACTCAGGTATATGGATTTTATAAAGGAATGGCATTACCTGTTCTGTCGGTGTCTGTGTGTGGTTCAGTTTGCTTCGGCACATACAGAAATTGCCTCCATTTTTTAAGTCAGTTGCGACATGGTAGCTCAGATGTGAAACCATCCAGATTTGATGTTTTCATCGCAGGCTGCTCTGCAGGGACTGCTGAGGTGTGTTACCTATATGATTATAAGTCCAAGATATCTTTCATTGCTTTGGTTATTTCTGCTGTTGAGTTAATTCGATTGTAATTTAATTAATTCTGTAGCTATTGAATTTGAGCTTCGGAGAAGGCATACGTATGTACAATTGACCTATGAAACATATAACTTTGACAAAATATGAAATGATTCAAGACAGACATTTAGAAATTAGATGATCTTAGCTAACCATATTTAAGATGATATTCAGTTTTATTTGCAGTACACCTTTTATATTTACTAATAGTTTGAATGCATCACCACTGTTAAATTATGTCTACAGAATATCGAAAGTTCTTTGTTTTAGGTTGAGCACATGCTTTCTGATCACTGATTTATTAAACTGTTTGTGGGGGGGTGGTATTGTGGTGCATGTTGTGGGGGGTGGCCTGTGTGGTGCATGTTGTGGAGGGGGTGGTATGTGTGGTGCATGTTGTGGAGGGGGTGGTATGTGTGGTGCATATTGTGGAGGGGGTGGTATGTGTGGTGGATGTTGTGGGGGGGGGGGTGGTATGTGTGGTGCATGACTGTAAATATTTGTAGCCGACTGTAGCTGGAGTGCCGCAACTTTGGTTCACTGGTGGTATTCACACATCTGAGTTAGAATGTGAATTCATGACCCACTGCAGAACCTGAAAATGTAATCTAGACCAATTTTAAATGCAGTGATGAAAATGTGCTGCATTGTCAGAGGTCCTGTTTATCAGATGAAATATTAAATTGACATAACTGTAAATCTCTTTTGGGCCACCACAGGACATGAAATGTGTTGCACAAATAGAATTTTTTTTTTCTCATGACTTGCAAACTGACCAAACCGGGCACCTGTGCCCAATAATTTCAGTTATTGCATCTATATGATTAACAGAGTCCATTGCTAAAGTCACTAAAGTTTTTAATTGGTTATCATTGGCCAAGATATTGAAATGGATTTTGAAAAAGATATTTTATAAATGCTCTGAAAGTTGTCCTTATCCTAACTTTATCCTCATGTGACTATAACTCCATATAAACCAAAACCAAATATATCTGTCCTGTAATGCCATTTAACATTTTGTTAACTTCTTTACAGGCTATGGTGTTTGCTCCCATTGATCTAATCAAGATAAGGCAGCAGAATCAGACACATCCTCATCATTCATACCAAGGCCCTTCTTCTCGTGACCTTTTGTTGAAGCCAAAATACAGAGGCCCAACCCACTGCCTAATAACAGTAATAAAAGAGGAAGGAATTTTGGGACTGTACAGAGGTATTACTGCACTGTGGTTAAGAGACATCCCATGTTTTGGATTATATTTTTTGGTGTACTCTATTTTCACTGAATGGCTAACTCCACAAGAACAACATAAGCCAGGTAAGTACAAATTTGAAACCAGTTCAAGGTTCATTCATTTGATGATTTTACTAACTGGCCTAACTCTAATTGGAAGATTGAGTCCTCTTGTTTGTAATGTCCTTATTAGAAGAATTATTTTCTTTATTTTTAAAAAATATTTTAACCGCAGTGTATCTTGACTGTCATTTCAAATTAGCTGTTGAGATATATCATTTATTCTTCATCACATGTACCATTCACAGGTAACAGATGACTGTAACAGTGAAGGGAAATTTCACCCAGAAAAGATTGGGCTGATGGGAAATAAAAATGTAACTAATTCGAAACTCAACTCAGCATCCCTTGCCATCCTTAATAAAATTCTATACATGTCCAATTGGCTGTTGGTCCTCTTTATTTTGAAGAGATTTTAACACTGTTAAGGATTATTGCTTCTGATAGTGTTGTTGCAAGTCCATTAAGTATCTAAACTTTAGTGGCAACATACAAGGCTATCTTCAGCTATCTTTTGTATCTCTCCTCCTACAACCCTATCCCTTATCAATTTTACTTTTTACCTTTTATCCCAGCAAAAACATTTTCTTAAGTCACTTATAACTATATTAAGAAGCTTCCAAATGCCTAGGCTTTGCTTGGTCTTCTGTTCCCCTCTGTATTGCTGCAGATCCACAAATTTCTCACCCCCATCTTTAATACCCATGGTCTCTATCCTCTTCCCATTCTAGTCATTCTCCAGTTTAACTCCCTGCTTTGCTCCCTCAAGGACATATGCTGTTGGATCATCAGCTCTGACTGAACGATATCAAACAGGTGTTGGAAATCTGAAGTAAAGGTCTGACAGCATCTGTGAAGAGAGAATTTTTTTGACTTGAAGCATTAATTCTTTTTTTTTAATTTCTGGTCATCATAATCAGAAGGTTTAGCAGCATCTATTAGAAACTCTTTATCCATTTTCCAAAACTGCCCATTAATCTAGTGCCCATCTTGAAATTGAAATATAACCTCTACCCCTTTTCTTCAGTATCATCTCTTAAATCCCTCTCTCTGCACTGTCCATCTTCACTTCGCTTATGAATTTCTTTGTCACTTACTCATATACTATCTGTTCAGCCATTTCTACTGCTTCCAGTATCTTTTCTATCTATCTCCATTCTGTCCCTGAGATTCACTGTCCACAGGACCAACCTTTCAAATTAGTTGTCACCTAACCCTGTCCTCAAAAAAATTCCCCAACTACTCATGTTCTTGCAAATTATCACCTCATTTCCAAACTTCCATTGTTTTCCAATATCATTAAACGTACCATCAACTTCCCATATTCATGACCATCTTAATCGAACTCTCATGTATGAATCTGATAATCAGATTTTCTTATACAGAATTGAAATTCTAGTGGAAATATCAAAGGGTATCTTTGGCTTTCTCCAAGACTGCTCCCGAGAGAAATCATCTGAAGACATGAGGGAAGCCATCATGTAGGTGCTGAAGGTGTCAAGATGAACCTTTTTTATTTTCAGCATCTCAAATACACCATTCTATCTATGTTGTCAGACCTTTGATCAGGCACGCAACCGAGGATGAAACAGTTTGCTCCGATAAAATATTGGGAAGATTCAAGTTGCCATATTTCGTCCTTACCGCAAATTCTGTACCCTTACCCCTGAATTTATCTCCTTTCCTGATCGCTGGCTTAGGCCTGATTCAACCTCAAGCTGAGTTTCTAACCCCAAAAACTCTCCATCATAACTACTGCATTCTTAAACCATCATAACATTGTCCTGGCTCAACCCATCTGCCACTGAAACACTCATCCATGTATTTATCACGTCCAGATTGGATTAGCCAACATTGTCCTGACCAGGGGAGGTGATGGCCTAGTGGCATTATCGCTGGACTGTTAATCCAGAGACCCAGATAATGTTCTGGGGACCTGGGTTCAAATCCCGCCATAGCAGATGGTGGAATTTGAATTCAATAAATATCTGGAATTAAGAATCTAACAATGACCATGAATCCATTGTCAATTGTCAGCAAAAACCCATCTGATTCACTAATGTCCTTTAGGGAAGGAAACTGCCATCCTTACCTGGTTTGGCCTACATGTGGCGCCAGACGCACAACAATGTGATTGACTCTTAACTGCTCTCTGCGCAATTAGGGATGGGCAATAAATGCTGCCTAGGCATTGATGCCCTCATCCTGTGAATGAATAAAGAAAAAAAACTCTTCCAATCTTCATGTTCCCTAAACTTCATCTTCTAATCCTTTTGACTCTGTCATCGCAAGCTGTATTCTCCCATCACTCCTGTCCTTGCTGATCCACACTGGCTTCTAATTTTTCCCATTTAAAAATCTTATCCCAGTGTTTAATATCCTTTTATCTCTGTAAAAACTACCAGCCCCACTAATTCCCAAAAACTTGACTTCCATTCAACTCTGGTGTCTTAAGTATTCCCTTTTCATTTTTCCTGCATTGGTGAGCATTCCTTTAAACAATTTATCTTCCATTTAAAGCTCTTCTTGAAATCCAACTCTTTGACCAATGCTCCACATTTCTCCTTTTCAGCTTTGCATCTATTTCTGTCAGATTATTTTTCTGTGAATTGAATTGCAATGTTTTTCTGTGTTTTAAAGCACTGTACAGACTGTTTGCAAGCAGCTTTAAATTAAATGGGGTAACCAAAAATATGGAGAAATAGTTTTATAATATTGAACATATTTTGAATTAAAAGCTTTTTATTCCTCATCAGATTGGTCAGCCATGCTGTTGGCTGGTGGTTGTGCTGGCATGACTTACTGGACTTTGGCCACTCCAATGGATGTCATGAAATCCCGAATGCAGATGGATGGCATGGGACAGCAGAGATATAGTGGTGTACTGAATTGTATTAGTGAAAGTTTCCGACAAGAAGGGGCAAGAGTTTTCTTTAAGGGTTTAAGCTTAAACTGTGTGCGTGCATTTCCTGTTAATGGATTGACATTTGTAATTTATGAAACTGTGCTGGCATTTCTCAAAAAAATAAATGCAAAGGATCAGTGAAGTTCCTACCTCTTGAAGGCATTCTATCTTGATATCCATATAAATTAATATTTCAAATAATTATTTGAATAATGTGTATAGAAGAATTTAAGAATGGTGTAAATATTATATATATTATATGTTTATTATAAATACATAACAATGGATTTTTCATGGATATGCCGTTGTCTAAGTGCAAAGAGCTCATGTACCTTTTTTGTCAGTAAGATCAGCTGCATCTGTCATATCCTCTCTTTCACTATCCTACTAGGCTAAACCTACTTTGCTACTGCCCTAGTCTTGTACTTGCATGTCTCTGTACTTTCACTCCTATCCACCATTGTGCCCTTTCTTAGCTCCAAGACATCAGCATAATGCTCACTCAACCCTATTCCTATTAAACTGCTGACCACCCAAACTCCCTCCCTGTTAACCGATATTATTAACAGTTTCTCTCTTCAGGTGTTGACTGTCTCTTAAATATGTTGTCATCGCCCCTCTCCACAAAAAAAAAATCCTTGGTACACACCATCCTTGAAAACCAGCACCCAATCTCCAACCTCCCTTTCCACTGCAATGTCCTCAAATGTGTTCTTGCCTCTCAAACCAGTGCCATCATAGTAATAAAATGGTATTTATCAAAAACATAAATGACGTTCTATTAATGTAATGAGGGTAAACTGTTCCTCCATGTTGTTTTTGACCTGTGTACTGTGTTTGACTGTTGGCCATGCATCCTCACCTTGAGCCTCTTCACTGTCATCCTATTTTCTATTCTTATCCATCTAATCCTGGTGAGAGTATCATGTACAATGGCTTCTCTTCTAACCCAGGGTGACCCCAAGGTGCAGTCTTTGCCCTCCATGGGGTGTTATGGTGATATAATAGGAAAGTACAGCATGGTTTTTTATATATACACTGACATCCAGCTCTACCTCACTAATACCTCTCTTGACTCCTCAACTGTTGCTAAGCTTATTTTCAGACTGCTTATCCAATATAAATTACTGAATGAGATAACTCCTTCAATTAGATATTTGGAAGGCTGAAGCATTGTTTTTGATCCCCACTCCAAATTCTGTTCCCTAGTTACTGATGCCTCCTCTTTTTCCGGCAACAATCTGAAACTAGACAGACTAATTGTGATTAAAAACCTATTTATATCAAATCAAATCATATTTGACCCAAGGATCAACATCTGCCAACTCATTCATGCCACCATTTTCCATGTAGGAGAAAATTACTGCAGATGCTGTAATCTGTATTGAAAACAAAAAATGCTGGAGATAACAGCTGGTCAGGCAGCATCCATGGAGAGAAAACAGGCTAGCGTTTCAAGACTGATAACTCTTCAAAGCTGATGTAAAATGAGCTCTGATGAGTCATCTAGACTTGAAACGTTAGCTTGTTTTCACTCCATAGATGCTGCCTGACCCACTGTGATCTCCAGCATTTTTTGTTTTCCGCTGTTTTCCATCTCAGTAATATTGCCTGACTTCGCCCTTGTCTCAGCTAATCTGCTGCTGAAACTTCAATTCGTGCCATTGTTACAGGAATGCTTGACTATTCCAATGCACCCTGATCACTCAAATACTACCCTCTGCAAATCTGAGGTCAATTAAAACTCTGCTACCTGAATCTTAGGACATACCATGTCACATATCACCCCAGTTTCAAGGACCTACATGAACTGCTAGTCAAGCAATGTCTGGAATTTAATATTCTGATTCTTGTTTTCAAAACCTTTCCTGACATCTCCTCTCTCCTATCTTTGTAATCTTATTCTACCCTACAACCTTTGGAGATATCTGCACTCCTCTAATCCTGGTTTCTTGAACATCTTTAATTTTAATTGCTCCACTGTTGGTGGTAGTGCCTGCTTCTGCATGTGTTGTAATGTTAGTCGGTTAGGGACTATTAACATTTAGAGAGAAATCCAAAACCCTCATTTTGACTAAAAGACCAATGCCACAAGATTTCATTTTTAAACAAAAACTTTGTGTATCAAAGATTAAAATAAGCACTATGTCTATAAGTAGCACTTATAAGTCTATGCTACTTCTCCTCCCTTCATCTGTATAATTTTCTGCATTTTATTAATTCTGAAGTTTTGAATATTCCTGATTTTGATCACTCTGCAAATCACAAATATGCCATCAGCTGGCTAGGCCCTGAGCTTTATAATGCATTCCTTGTATAAAATGGTTCCTTGTGCCTAATTTTTGACCAAGCTCTTGATGACCTAGCCTAATATCTCGTTGTGTTGCTCTCAAATTTTGCTTCATGTAGAGTGCCTTAGGGTGGTTTATTATGTTAAAGGTGCTATACAACTATAAATTGCATATTTTTATGTATTCCTCTCAAATATTAACTTTATTGGTAGCATCACTCTTGCCTTTGAATGGAAAGGTCATTGGTTTAAACCTCACTTCAGACTTTGAGTACATAATCTCACTTGACAGGTCAGTACTGAATTGAAGGATCGCTGCTTTGCCATGGGTGCTATCTTTTGATTTAGAAGTTAAGTAGAAGCCCAACTGCCAACAGTTTTTATCTCTTAACCAATCTGTTTGTTATGTTGGTTATTTATCTCAACTGCTGCTTGAGGAATCTTGCTGTGTACACAGTGGCTGCTATATTTTTCTGCAAAAGAACAGTGGCCAGACTTGAAAGTAACCAGTTCCCTGTGAAATGCAATGTGACAGCCTGAGAATGTTAAATTCACAATAAATATTTGTCACTAAGATTACCTACAGAAGCTGAACTAAAAAAGTTGTGTTTTGGTGTAATGTGCATTTTGTCTGTTTCAGTTTTTTGCAATGTAAATTTATAAATACTGTTACTTTTTCAGTGACTGTTAGTGGTTTCAATTTGAAATACATTTATAGGCTAAATTTTTTTCTTTTATAAATGTAATATTTTTGCATTGATTTAGAGCATTGTTTGGCACCAAGTTGAATTTCTCAGCATCAATAAAAACAAAACCGTGATTACGAACAGCATTTTCTTCATTGTGCTTTTCCTCTGCACTTTGTTCCCAATGGCTGAGAAGTCCCAGAACCAGGGGTCACAGTCTAAGGAAATGGGGTAATCCATTTAGGACTGAGAGTGACAAGCTTGTGGAATTCACCACAAAATGCAGTCGAGACCAAAACATTGTAAGATTTCAGGAAGTATATATAGCACTTAAGGCTAAAAGGATCAAAGGTACGGGGGGAAGGTGGGGTAGAGGGGGTATTAGGAATAGGCTATCAGGTTGGATGATCAGCCATGACCATAATAAGTGATGGAGCAGGCTCAAAAGAGTTTAATGGCTTAAATTACTGTATTTTCATAACAAAGTGAAGTGAAACCTTTCACACTAGTAGCTTTAGATAACAAGGTGTAGAGCTGGACGAACACAGCAGGCCAGGCAGCACCAGAGGAGCAGGAAAGCTGACGTTCGGGTCTGGACCCTTCTTCAGAAATGGGGGAGGGGAAGGGGACTCTGAAATAAATAGAGAGAGGGGGAGGCGATGATGGAAAGTGGATAGAGGAGCAGATAGAGGAGCAGATAGGTGGAGAGAAGACGGACAGGTCAAGGAGGCGGGGATGAAGCCAGTACTGGTGAGTGTTGGTAGGGAGTTGGGATAGGGGTTGGTAAGTGAGGAGGGAGGGGTGGGTAGGTGGGAGGGAAGCTGGACAGGTCAAGGAGGCAGGGATGAGGCTAGTAGGTAGGAAGTGGGGGTGGGGTTTGGTCAGTGAAGTGTGAGGAGCGGATAGGTGGGAGAAAAGACGGACAGGTCAAGGAGGCGGGGACGAGATGGGCTGGTCTTGGGAGGAGGTCAGGGGTGGGGAGATTTTGAAGCTTGTGAAGTCCACATTGAGACTATTGAGCTGCAGGGTTCCCAAGCAGAATATGAGGTGCTGTTCTTCCAGCCTTCGGGTGGCATCGTTGTGACATATGAGACATTTGCTTAGAATAAATTTACAAACATGTTTATAGGAACCAAATTAAAAGATTTAATATATGTATGCATACAAGGTTTAGTAATTGCTCAAAAATTCAACACAAGCCCAGAAATTAATGTGCCGTATGACTGCATTATCTAATAAGAGTTAGTGAAAATCAAAATGTAGTTCTTAAGAAATAAAGCCCTCAAGGAGGAAAGGGTTGGGGAAAGGAGTAATTAGTTGACCCTGATTAAATGTCAAAACATCCGTTTAACTCTATAATCTTAATCAACTGCTTTCAATAGTAACACTGCAATCATTAAGTTCCATGTAGTATACCTGTGGTCTTCCTTTTCTTAAACACAGTTGACTGACATAAGAATAGTTAACACTATACTGGAGAAAGTCATCACGAAGGAGAAACTTTCTTCTCCAATTTTAGTTTTCAGAAGACATGCATGAGTGGTCTTAACCACTAAGAGAATGCAAGATTATGGTACTTGATACTGTCTTAATTTTTTTAAATTTGCATTTAATATCTTTAAGAATATTTCCTCCAAAATGAATTAAAGATGGAGGAAGTCAGAACACAACCATAAGGAATCAACAAGACCATTTCATATATATTGAAGTGACCTTTGTAAAACAAACTTATACATTTGTTAATTTCATTTGGCAGAAGTTTGCATTTAAAGTCATTCACAGAAGCCTGCAATTTCAATGTTTTTGTGAAGTTAAACAAGTTCCATATTAAGTCTACCTTTAGTCTTAGACATATATAATGCTATTTTTTAAATTTGCTATTTTAATTTGAAATTTTCATTCTTCCTTGGAGCAAAGACTCCTTGTTGAGGCAAAGAAGTCAAACATTTTTTATGACAAGACATCGTATAATTCTAATGACTTTTTAGTGGATTATCGTGCTTCTAGGCAATTTTAAATCTGCGAAATTATTAGACTTCAAGTGGGTAGATAAATTAGCTTTCCTTGTGTTTATATTCTAATACTGTTTTGACTGATCCAATGCATTTGTATCAAAACACCAAAGTGACATCAGCATTCCAGCATTTAATAAAGATGGTGCATATAATATAGGATGAAGCCCATACTAATAACAGAATCTGATCAGAATGGATTATGCAAAGCAAACGAACTACAGCAGTATTACTCAAACTACTTTCCAATGTGACCTCATTTTAACTCAATCTCACCTTCACAATGGCATTTAGGGATAAGTGAAAACTGCTGGCCTTGCCAGTGTTGCCCACATCCCATGAACAAATATAAAAATTAACATTATCTCAGACACTAAAGTAAATCAGTAACAAAGCAATATAAATACATTTGGTATATAATTATTCAAATTTTCATATTATACATCAATACATTATGCATCATATAGATATGAAAATTTGTTTTTTAAGAGCATTGTGGAAGTGTTATTCTATTTATCTATGTAGCTTTCAGCCGTATTCTCTGTTGACCGAAGACTAAATGAAACCCCTCTCCCCTTCCACACACACCCACCAACATTGTAATTAGCCCCTTTGATTCTGCTTAGTAATGAGGAGGTATTTTAGCAGGTCACTGAAGAGCAGTTCAAGTCTTTTTCTAGTCAGTAGAAACAATGGCCTTATACGCCTAAACAGCTACTGAAAGCTAATGGTGCAGCTACAGGAGACATTTGATGGCTTCTTGCTTGGAATAGGTTAGGCATAAAAGGAAGCCCCGAGAGCCATTGATAGTTCAATGCAACCAAGAGTGGGCTCAAGGAAGGCCACAAGCAATATTTCCTTGGTTCAGCTGGGAAGGATTGGAGGTCAATGAAATTCAGGGACTGCAGCTGAGCTGTTTGCTAAGGAAGCCAGAGCTGAACTGGTGATTAGATGCTTGCAAGCAGTTTCAGGGAATCCTGGGAAATGCAATCTTATGAGAAGTGATTGAAATACTAGGGTTTGACACATCATTATAGCAGTCCATTGAGGATTTTTCAAGGCAAGATATGCACAAGTGATAAAATGAAATCCCTTGAGAAAGAACAAAGTTTTATTGAGATTTGGTGACCACATCCAGGTGGCTTGTTGAAAAATCTGTGGGATTTGTCTTAATTACATCTGTTATTGGATATGTAGTGTGGTTTAACCCACAGTTTGTCTGCTGTTTGTGTTTATCTAATATTGACAGCCACCAAATTATGTTGTAATTTCAGACAAAGCCATGGTCTCCATCGAGACACCAAATTATTGCAGGATCCCTGATAAATCTCTTTTTTTAAAAATTAATTCACAAGATGCATTAATTGCTTGTCCCTAGTTTCCCTTGAGAAGGTGGTGGTGAGCTACCTTCTTGAACTGTTGCAGTCCATGTGCTGTAGGTTGATTTACAATACCTAGGGAGAGAATTTCAGGATTTTGAACTAGCAACAGTGAAGCATATATTTCCAAGTCAGGATGGTGAGAGGCTCAGAGGGGCATTTGCCAGTGTTGGTGTTTCGATGGATATGCTGCCCTCGTCCTTCTAGATGGTTTAGAAGGGTGTTCATCGTGGGTTTAGAAGGTGTTGTCTGAGGAACCTTGGTGAACTTCAGCAGTGAATCTTGTGGACGGGACACACAGCTGTTACTGTTGAGCGTCAGTGGGCAAGGGACAGAATATCTATGGATGCGATTTTTATTTATTCCTTTACGGGATGAGGGCATTGCTGGCTAGGCAGCATTTATTGCCCATCCCTAATTGCCCAGAGGGTGGTTAAGAGTCAACCACATTGCTGTGGATCTGGAGTTACATGTAGGGCAGACCTGAAGAATGTTAGTGAACCAGATGGGCTTTTCCCAACAATTGACAATGGATTTGTGATCATCATTAGACTCTTAATTCCAGATTTTTATTGCATTCAAATTCCACCATCTGCCATGGCAGGATTTGAAACTGAAACCCCAGAACATTACCTGGGTCTCTGGATTAACAGCTCAGTGATAATACCGCTAGGCCATCACCTCCCAAGCAAAAGGGCTGATTTGACCTGGATGGTGTCAAGCTGCTTGAGTTTTGTGGGAACTGCACTTATCCAGGCAAGTAGGGAGCATTCCATCACACTCGTGCCTTGTGCCTTGTATGTTGTCAACAGGCTTTGATGACTTATGTTGCAAGATTCCTAGCCTCCAATCTGCTTTTGCAACCACAGTGCTTATTAGCTAATCCAGTTCAATTTCTAGTCAATGGTAACTCCAGGATGTCGATAGTGGAGGATTCAATGGTGGTAATGCCATTGAATGTCAAGGGACAATGGCTGGATTCTTTCTTGTTGGAGATGGTAATTGCTTGGCATTTGTGTGGTGTGAATGTTACCTCCAACTACCATAACTACCTTCATTTATGTCAGGTATGACTCCAACCAGTGGAATGTTTTCCCCCAATTTCCAATGATTACAATTTTGCTAGGGCTCCATGATGCCATATCCAGCCAAGCGCGGCCTTGATGTTAAGGGTTGTCACTCTCACCTGGCCTCTGGCATTCATCTCATTTAAAGTTTTTGAGAAGATTTGTAGCTCGGATTGCGGATGAGATTGTAGACATGCTCGCTGAGCCGGTGGGTTTGGTTGCAAACGTTTTGTCATCCTGCTAGATAACATCGTCAGTGTGTCTCCAGTGAAGCGTCAGTATTCTGACCTGCCTGTTATTTATATGCCTCGGTTTGCTGGGGTGGTTGGTATTACTTCCGGTTTTGTTTCTCAGTGGTTTGTACACAGGGTCTAATTCAATGTGTTTGTTGATGAAGTTCCTGTTGGAATACCAGGCCTCCAGGAATTCCCTGGTGTGTCTCTGTTTGGCCTGTGAGATTATGGATGTGTTGTCCCAGTCGAATTCGTGTCTCTCGTTGTCCATGCGTACTGATACAAGTGAGAATTGGTCGTGTCTCTTGGTGGCTAGTTGGTGTTCGTGTATCCGTATAGTCTATTTTCTTCCAGTTTGGCCTATGTAGTGTTTCTCACAGTCCTTGCATGGTATTTTGTATATTACCCCAATTTTGCCGGTTTTGGTATGGAGTCTTACAT